CAAAAAAATAGGATTTTTATGGGGGTTAATCCACATATTAAGTGGTATATGAATGTTAACTACATTAATCATTGGAAAATTTGAAATGATTCACATGTACCATAAAGATAAGTTTAGAAAACATATATAAATATTTGGAGTGGGTTTAGGTATTTTTTAAACAACACGAAAGATGGTAAATATTATAGATAGTATTTAACTAGAAAATTCAGGTTTTTCATAGGGGTTAGCCCACATATTACAAGAAAAATTACCAAAAATGGAATTTTTGTTTTAATGCATAGCTACATCATACACCGCCATAATATGAATATTAAATAGGTTTGAGAACTTAAATGTTTTTGTTTCTCCAGAAAATAGGATTTTTATTGGGGTTAATCCACATTTTAGGTGGTATATGAATGTTAAGTAAATTAATCATTGGAAAATTTGAAATGATTCACATGTACCATAAAGATAAGTTTAGAAAACATATATAAATATTTGGAGTGGGTTTAGGTATTTTTTAAACAACACGAAAGATGGTAAATATTATAGATAGTATTTAACTAGAAAATTCAGGTTTTTCATAGGGGTTAGCCCACATATTTTAAGAAAAATTATAAAAAATGGATTTTTTGTTTTAATGCCTAGCTACATCATACACCGCCATAGTATGAATATTAAATAGGTTTGAGAACTTAAATGTTTTCGTTTTTCCAAAAAATATTATTTTTATTGGGGTTAATCCACATATTAAGTGGTATATGAATGTTAAATAAATTAATCATTGGAAAAATTGAAATGATTCACATGTACCATAAATATAAGTTTAGAAAACATATATAAATATTTGGGGTGGGTTTAGGTATTTTTTAAACAACACGAAAGATGGTAAATATTATAGATAGTATTTAACTAGAAAATTCAGGTTTTTCATAGGGGTTAGGCCACATATTTCAAGAAAAATTATCAAAAATGGAATTTTTGTTTTAATGCATAGCCACATCATACACCGCCATAATATTAATATTAAATAGGTTTGAGAACTTAAATGTTTTCGTTTCTCCAGAAAATAGGATTTTTATTGGGGTTAATCCACATATTAAGTGGTATATGAATGTTAAATAAATTATCATTGGAAAATTTGAAATGATTCACATGTACCATAAAGATAAGTTTAGAAAACATATATAAATATTTGGAGTGGGTTTAGGTATTTTTTAA